GCTGCTCTATGGTTATTCATTACATTATTAACATTAATTCTCCAAAGACCTCATTCGTGAGCTTTTTAAGGTAAACAAGTAATTTGTGATTTTTGATGCTATCGGAATCACCAGAATTTCTATTTCTATTTAGGCAGCGTTTGCAAAAGTAAACTGAAGTGGAGAGCTGAGTATTTCTCTCCTGATTCTGGGTCCTATTGTCAGTGGAAATGTTAATTATGAATTAATGAGAAGTTTGAATCTTTATTCTCAATAGCAATTATTTGGCCTAAAATATTCAAATGTCTCAGAGCCCTACTTTCTTTTCCCCCTGTAGACATAAGAACAACAGGTTAAAATAATTTTTAAAAAATTGAAAAAATGCATCATTTCACATAAGATAGACAACACAATTTCCCTTCCTTAATTTTCTCTTTTAAAATACAATCCTATCAACCAGTAGAAACTAAAAACACGTGAAACAAACAAATAAATAAATAAAACAAAATAAAATTCAAAATTAGATCAAGGGCAGTTTTGTACAAAGTAAGTTATCAAAATTCATTTGACTTCCCATTTGCTTTTAAATGAACAAACAGATCCTTAGGAAATCTAAAATTGAGAGTTAACAATTATCAGGTGAACTTGATATATGCCACCAGTTATTCCCGGTAAGTGAAGCCACAAACAGGATATTTTAGTTCGCCCCATCTGACCATAGTGACTAATTGGATGAGCACTAGAAATGATGCCAAACCTTGATTTGATGCCACTTGTCTACATAACAGAAGTGGCTGGAACCCAAAGCTCTGTGCTCAGTACTCATAAATAGCACAATCCTGTGATGTATCTCCTCAGATGCATAAGACATTTAATCTAAAAACACATGTATATGTTGTCTATACTGTTCACACCTTCAGCATACCTATGTATATGTGTAAAGCAATAACAATCTTAATTTATATTCTGCCTCTCTCTCTCTCTGTTTCTGTCTTTACTTTTCTTCTCAGATATATATGAACCTTCAACCCACTGTATTGGTCAGTATAGCCAGTTGTATTTATTTCAGCCCTCAAGTTAACTGTAATGCGATTGGTTCATTTTCCTCAACAGTAATAATTGTGGTAAAGTGATGGATTGATAATTTTGGTAATCTTTAACAGAACCAAATGCAAATCACAATTTACTTCATATGTGGGTAACTAACTTGTAATCAGTCAAACTGGCAATGGAATACAGAGGTACTGAAGGTTTTCTAAAAGTATTTGAGCATAGTTAAGATTGAATATTCATATTTGCCTATCTGAAGTTATGTCAGATTCCAACTGATTAAAAAGAATGGTCAAGGATCGAAGCATGTTGATCTTGGCACTGTCTGACTCTTCTGCAGAGGGGCTGCCAGTGGAAAGGAACACAGATTGCAAGTATGTTTCTAAAGAAAGCATTTTTTTAAACAGACATTTAGCGATTAAGTCGAATACAAACAGTATTCTAAAGCTATATCTTACCCTCAAATCTGGGTGAAATGATCAGTTTAGTTACTGCTTTATTTTTTCTGAAAAATAATGGAAAGACAAATATATTTAACAAACTGTGGCTTCAAAAATATTGTAGCAAACAATTTTATTAATACTTTCATAAAAATGGCAATTAATAAATTCTAATAGCTTGATGTTATTAAAAGCAAACAAAAGTCATTAAAACAGTTCTTTTCTGTGATTTACATTAGCTTTTACAGCATTTCTTGATTTTCTCTTACAAATTAACCTAAAATACTAATCAAATCAGGGTAAAAACAATGCAATATTTTTTTTTACTTTATTTTAAAATAGTGATTATAAATACAATCCTAATATAGTTTCTCTCCAGCTCTTTGGATGCGACAATAACAACAACAACAACAAAAAAAAAAAAACCTCAGTGTGCTCATTTCATACAATGTCAATGTACAAATCATGCAAAAAATTATAGATTAATATTACCACCATACATTTCTAGACATGTTCTGTTATTTCCAAAATACCTGTTGATTACTCATAAGGTCATGCCCTCTATAATTTATGCATCCTTATGGCTTAAAAAAAGTGAATGTTTTTAAAAAAGCAACAAAAGAAAGATGGTCTTAAATAAATTTCTAATTAATATACTTTTTCATGTTATTCAGAATGAAAAACTAAATGTAGAATATAAATTGCCTTATAGACTTGAATCACTATACTTTAATAGCTGCTTTCTCATAAAATTACACAAAGACTTACTTTTAAAGAATTGAGTCATCTTTATTGATTTCATAAAAAAATAATTTAAAACTTGATTTATATTACACGGACACAATATATTATCTCAACCCCTTCACTGATTTCATAAGGTCTAAATTTGTTTGTAACCATTCTAACATAGTCCATACACATGAATATAGTGCCAAGAAGCCCATGATGTGTCAGACCACATTAGAAATGAGCACTTCTTGGATTTTATAGGTTTGCATCAATGTTCCACTAAAAATCCTGTACTGATGTACATATCACTTCTCAAGGGGTTAAACTAACATCAAGTTTATAGTTGAAGCCAACAAAATGTAGATACAGTATTTTAACTGTTCTTGTACTCAACTCAGAATTTATGCCTAACTACATTATCATAAAATGTACAAGTAGAACTAATGAGAGACAGGTGCAAAATTGTATACACTATATAATGTAGGCACAATGACTTTAGTTAAGGAAAATATGTTAGCCTTAACCAAGGATTTGTTACTTTCATTTACAATTTGAACCTCCAAATAACCACGTATGTTAAATTACTTTTTTTTTTTTTAAAAAGGTGAACATTTATATCTTTCAGCAGAAGAGTATGAGATAGCCAATATGCTACAGCAAGCTTTTGAGATGGTGGCAGGTACTCTTTCCATTGACAATTCTGTGGAAACCTTGAACATCCTCAAAACATCACCACACTGAATAAAAAGCATCATTCCAATGACTTATTATCCCCAGATCATGGATGGAACTTTCTGTTCCTCTTATAAGTGTCTATTTAAGATCCCTCAAGTCATATTTTATTGACAGACTAAACTAAAACACTTTCTTTGAAGCCTTTGCATCTTTATCCTGTCAGTATACATTAGGAGCCCTTTAATCCATGGATGTGTGCATGCATGGTAATGGCATATCAAAAGTCCTTATGAAATTGTAGATGAAAAAAGCTGTTGGGCACACATCTTATCTTTTCTTTCAAGATCAGAAAGCAGTCATTTGTTTGGATTTTTATATTCATATAAAGTTTTCACAGATGTCATAAAAATTAAAATTCCACACTAAACTTTTGAGAGCACCAACACATACACATGGAGACATTTTTTTCTATCTAAAAAAGATTTCCAAATTATCTATATGTATGAATATATACCCAGAAATATACATACATACGCATACACGCACAAACACACGTACACACACACCCAAGAATGCCAAGCTTCGTTTGTCTTGCAACAAACACATAAAGCCCCGAAATTAGTGATTAATAAAGGAACTGATATTGCAGCTATAAACATAATATCATTTTGGAAGCTGCAACAAGAAATATGCCACTTGAAATCATGAGGAATGGCTATGTTTACCTTCTTGGTTACTGATCCATAAGGTAATTATAAGAGATGGAACACAGACACACACACACGCACCCACCCCCCCCCCCACATATATATATATATATATATATATATATATATATATATATATATATGTGTGTGTGTATATATACACACACATATATATATACATGCATATATATACACACACACATATATATGTATATCTATGTATATCTATCTCTCTATATATATGCAGCAGGCAGGCCAAGAAGACAATGTGTTTCTGAATATCACTTTGCTAATCGGGAACTCCTACAAAAGTTCTGACATCACCCATTATCAGTTACTTTAGTCCTTTAACAAATTTTGACTTAGATCTTAGCACAAGCAAACACAGGGGCGTATCATTTGTACTTGCACTGTGAACTCATCTGAAACCAATGTAAGCATTCTTACAGTGTGGCTTTCATAGCCAAGATAACCATGATGTTTACAATTCTACTAGATTATCTGATAGTAGTCTGAATGATGAAAGAACAGGATACTGATGCATACAAGATATAATTATTAACCTTATCCATTATTTTTTAAATACTTGTAGTGTACACTATTTGAATTAAGCTCATAGAATCCTGAAAAGCAAGACAATTGATGGCAAGTAACAACTGCCCCAGACACAATACTAGAAAACTAAGGAACTTATTTTTAAATGCACAATTGGTAACAAATCTGAAGCTAATATGCTAAATTCACAAGAATAGCACAAAATTGAATTTTCTTTTGTATTTTTTCTTTTTTTGTTTTTAATTTTTTTTTGTTTGTTTTTAAGTTACACCTGATCATAAAGTCCAGAATATTTCTGTACACATCGGCTTGTTTCAGTTTAGTATATTTTTTCTGTCTACATCTATACTTACTGGCAAATTCACTGTGATCAGGAAAACAAGTCAGGCATATTAAATACATATTAAGGAGTACATATTTTCCTATTTAGTATACAAAGTACTTCATAAATATGAATTATGTTACAAAAATAGCTTTGGGTGCGCTCACACAGCAAGCACTCTGCTAATTTTGGACAACCTTTAAGGATTGTGGGTATTTCACATAACTGAGAACAAACTCTAGTGTTAGTTTAATTTGAGCCATGTTTAATTCTGATAAACATCACATATTTCTTCAGATCATCACAAACGCTATCTAACTCACGTTGATTTTTTCTTTTAGATTTTTATGTATAGACAGGTAATGCTTAAAGTGTTCAAATTTATTTATAGTTATGTAATGCATGTTATATTTAAACAAGTATTTGTACAATTTAACATTATAAATCCAGCAGTTTCAAGATGCAGGCCATAAAGTTTACCAATTTACAAATACTATCGAGTGTTCTCTCTTTGCATGCTTTTTTTTTTTTTTTTTTTTTTTCACTTTTCAGATAATCTTTACACGGAGTTGTTACAATGCCACAAATCAAAAGGATTATTCCAGTTCCACCAATTTAATCTACGTGCAAGATAAAGGACCCAGCTGAGGTACAAATATCTGTACCAGTTCTCTTGAGTTTGCTTTACAAAGCACAAAGAGACGAAGGTTTTGCATTGGGGTACAAAACAGATTTGCCTCTTGAGGTTAAATTCAGTATTATGTATATAAAGCATCCCTTTGGCAATAGAGTTTGCAGTATCCCCACAGGACTCCACAGTATAGGTTTTATGTAGTAAAATCTATTAAACAAATTCTCTTCTACTTGACACATCTTTGCAGCTACAGTTAATGAGATACCCTTGGAAACACCTGCCTCTATGCCTATTGATAATATAGTATTTGGAAGTTAGAAGTCAACAAAAGGCACTTTCATCATTAAATAAATGTCCTTTGTATGAAGTAAAATTATATGACCTAGATCTTGTTCAAAGCTGTTTGCTCCTCGAGGACCTGTAGGTAGTCAGGGGAACTCTGCAGTTTTGCCTTCAGTTCAAAATACTCACTCTTCCTTTGTTCCACGACAATTTTACTGTGGTTGCCACCTATCAGTGACTTCTTATTTTTTTTGTCTGGTTGTTTTTCTGGATAGCGGATCTCAAAACCACTGACACCTATGCTATTATATTCTTTTTTGCTTTCAAGAAAATTCTGAATAAACACATTGGAATCCCTGCTAGGGAATAATTCATCCAGCTCATCAATTGTGCTCAGTCTCTTCCTGGTATCCACATGTAATAAATCTTTCTCCTTGTCAGCCACATTTCTCATAACAACTTTCTGTCCTGGAGGATCTGAAAACATGAACCCAGTTTCTGACTCTTTCAAGCCACAAGTGTGGCTCTTGCTCATTTGTTCTATAGTTTGTGGAATGAAAGCTTCTGTGCTCAGTCCATCCTTTTTACTGGTTTTGTGGTCATGCTTCCTTAGCTGCAGCTGCATGGAGCCACATTCAGGATTCCCCAGGCCTTCGTGCTTTACTGTGGGTTTCTTGTTGCGTCGCAGAACAAAAACAAGAAGGCAAAAAGCAACAAACACAGTTAAAATGAGAACCACTAAGATACTTAAGATTAAAATAGACAGAGGCACTGGGCCACCAGGAGGACTTCGAATGGGACCTAAAGGAGTGGTGAATGTAATGGCAGGTGCCGGGCTCGTGAATGGTGCAGACGGCTTATTTAAAAGTTTGGGACATAAGATTTCATTTTTGAGGGACTTCAGTTCAATGTTGGCAAACTGAACAGGCGTCTCACATTTCAGTTCTTTTACAACAATCCCATCACTCAACTTCTCCAGCCACAGCTTTAATGCTACCAAGTCACAAGTACAGTCCCATGGGTTGCCCTCCAAGTCAATCTGTGTAAGAGACTGCAACTGATCAAGGACCCCACTGACAGGTAGGTACATGAATTTATTGTTCCTCAGGTTCAGTCTAGCTAAGGGTGCTCCAGAGAAAATGTAAACAGGCAGGCTCTTTAGGAGATTATTGTTTAAGTACAGTAACTGCAAATTTGGCATCGAGTCAAAAGTGCCTGCTAAAATTTCCTTAATCAAATTGTATTCCAAATACAGATACTGCAGATTATGAAGACCTGAAAATATTTCAGGAGAGAGTCTTTCAATTTGATTGCCATTGAGATATAGCCTGCGTAAATTAGTAAGATTGTGAAATACGTCTCCCTTAATCACTGTAATTTGATTGCTGCCTAAATGAAGCAAATCCAGTCCTTCAAAGTCAGTGAAGTCTGACATGTCCACGTCCTTGATGCTATTGCCATTGACATGCAGCTTCTTGGCATTTAAAGGTTTTGGTATCAATTCAGACATAGACTGTATATTTTTCTCTTGGCAGTTCACACTCAGTCCCAAATCTGAAGGATGTGTTTTGCAGAAGCAAGGGGCCGGGCAAGGTGTTAGAGGAGGCACCCTTGTTTGGTAAGACACAATCTGACTGAGATTGCGATTGGAGAGTGCTTTGCCTGCCACAATTCCAGAGATCTTGGAAGGATTTGTTGTTTTTGGTGGTTTAGTTACTAATCTGTGTAAAGATGTTTGGGTAGTGTGACCATTGGGAGTGGTGTAGCCATTTTCCAGCTGAGATGGAGGCAGGATGCGCACATCAAAATCACTGCCAGTGCCCATGGGGCATAATTCTTGTTTGTTGGTTTCTTTTAAAAGCCTTCCATATAAGTCACTGGGAGTTTCACAGATAGCTTCTCCTATGTAAATGTTATATGGCATGTTTTCCAGCCAAGCTTTTAAAGGCAACAAATCACAGCTACAGTTCCAAGGGTTATCTTCTAGTTGCAGTTCAACGACACGGCCAATGTGTTCCAGAACTCCGATATAAGGGAGCTTCTGGATTCTGTTCCCTCGTATATCCAGATGGGTCAAAGATGCAAATCGGAAAATATTATCAGGAAGGAATGAAATCAGATTGTCATTAAGAATAAGAACTTTCAGTTTGTGGAGCTTATTGAAGGCTCCTCGTTCAATATATTTGATTAAATTGTAGTCAGCCTGGAGATACTCCAAGTTCTCTATGCCAAGGAAAGTGTCAGCTCGGAGAATCTTTAATTCATTGTTGTTCAAGTGCAACTGCTTTAATGCACTGAGCCCAAGAAAGGCTCCTCCCTCAATGTTCTGCAGTTTATTATTTCCCAGATGCAGGGATACTGCATGTGAAAAATTCAAGAATGTATTTGGATACAGAATATTTAAAAAATTGTTTTGGAAATTGAGGTGATAAAAATTAGACCAAGGTGGTTTCAGCTGATTTGGTCTGTAGACTGAAACCTTCTCACAGTTGACATAGAGTACATTCTCAACTGAAACGCAGGAGCACACATTGCAAATTTCCACCGATATGTCAGAATCTGCATTTGTCGAAGAAATCAGGGCTGACAAAATCAGAAACAGCCAAAGAAACATCTTCTTGCAATCAGCAAACAACTGTATGCTTCTGAATAAAGAGAAATAATCTAAAAAATAAAAAGAAAACATTTTTCAATGGTGATTACTTGAAAAATTATTTGTGTTTAAATCATACCACAGTCAACACATGGCTATAATTGCCAGTGTTGTATTTTTAGGGCAACCAAACCTCCAAATAGTCTCACTCAGTCAAACAATAATAACCACTAAAACTGCCATACATTTTGTTTTCTATACCTGCAGTTTATACAAAATTTACATGTGTAGAACACAACCAACAATTGGAAAATATGTTATTAATCATGCTTAAATCTTATAATCTGATAATATATTTTCTACATGGACCATCAAACTCTGCCCTTGAACACAGGCCTTAAGCTTCCTATGTGCACTTCAAATGACCAACCCAGACCATCAAGTATGCCATTGAGTTTGCACCACAAAGACATTTTGATTAGTGGATATCTGTTCTCTAAACTTCAGCTAGATAGAGAGGCTGCATAAGAAACATATAGAGCCCAGAGTTTATTGGAAGATGAAATGGGAGGATTGGGTTGCTGTAAGGGGACTGTTAAAAAATCAGGAGACAGTGACCTGGGAAGATATTTGCTTGTGCTGTAGCCCCATAAGTAAGCTCACTGCTGTCAATCAGTTTACTCCTGTACACTACCGCCTTCAAAGACACAGATGACTCTGTGAGATTCTAGAAAAACAACTGAGTAAGGGATGGCCACATTTTATTTTCTGGTAAATAAAGAGTGTCTAATTTCCTGTCAGTCATCTCCCAAAGAGGGAGCAAAAGGCTTTTGTCTTTGAGTCTCTGAAAGCAGCAGAGTAACCTGCTTATTCCTTCACTGCTTAGCTAATCTCCAGGCAGCCTTTCCACCTTGAGAATTGGCTCTCTTGCCTGCCTGGCACTCTCAAGCACCTTTATTTACCATTTTGAACCCAGGTCCGACTGACCCTCGGCTTAACTCCTTTTCTCTTTCACTTTGACCACAGACTGCAACTGCTGAGGAAGAGTTCATACATCACAATCTTTGAGTACCTTTTCCTACAGCACCAAATATGTTCAGTACAGCAGATTTTTTGTCCTGAAATCATCAGTTCCAAACACTCACTCCCCCTCCTAATATTCCCACCCCATGTCCCCGACTACAAACAACTAAAAAATCACTTGTTGGTAGAGTTTAATGCTTAGCAAATTAACCCATCGTATTCAGGTCCTTAAATACTGCACACATACACAAATATGCACAATACTTCCTGGAAAAGATTAAACAGAACACAAGCAGAGTGCATTTTATTGATGCTATTTTAGCAACGTCTTTTCCACCGTCAATGGGAAGCTGGTTGTAATTTCAATATGGTTACCACCAAATATTAATTAAATAAATAAAATTCCCAAGAACACGCAACAAGGAAATGATGCAAAGAAAGAAGTGTCACACAGAAACTCCTTTGTTTATTTTACCCACGAGGAAACCGCAAATGGTAAAACCGAACATGCCTCAAGGTAGACAATCCATTAGCCATGACCCAGGAGGATTTGCATTTTAAGTAGTTTGGTTCAGAATACAGCCAGCACTGCTGAGATGCTATTTGGCTGCCATATAGACGTGCATTTCCCCTATTCACCATGACAGCATGATTGGCATTGCAAAAAGAAGTCATAATTCTTAACTATGACATCACCTAAAACAACTTTCATTGCAAGATCAAAATTTCACTTGATATTTTTGCCTTGTTATGAATGTGGTTTTCAACAGCTATTTTGGTTCAGTTGAGTCATTTCTTGTCACTAAACCACCACCCCACCCACTTCAAAACAAAGAAACCCAAAAGCAACCAAACTAAAAAACAAGCGCAGGAAAAAAAAAAAAAAAAAAAAAAAAAAAAAAAAAAAAAAAAAAAAAAAAAAACAACAACAACAAAAAACAAAACCTTAGAATCTGAATTCAGTACAAAAACAAGAGCCAGGAATCTCAACAAATCTGAAAACGCATAAGAAGCTGCCCTCCTCCTCCTGGCAAATTCTACTTTAAGTAGCAAGGGGGGAAAAGGCACTAGAACGAGCCAGGAAGTTCCCGAATGCAGCTCTTGTGAAACAGAGGAAGCCACAAGCAGCTGGAGGGGCAGGCAAGAGAGAGAAAGAGTCCAGTTGGTCCACCAAGGAGACGGAGAAAGAGGCACTGAAAGGGCAAGAGACCACGGAGAAGTGGAGAAAGGAAGAAAGAGAGCTTCGAGAACGGAGCTACAAAGAGGGTAAAGGCAGGCACTGGATGTATGTGAATAAAGCCTCACATTCGCGTGGTACCACGGAAACATGCACATTTAAACATCAAGGGAAAAACGGAAAAAAGAAAAGAAAAAGCCCACAAAGTACCAGCTGGGTACCAAGAGCCTTCTATGTGGCTGCTGGGAGCTGTCCGTCTCCCTGTCGGTCTCTCAGTCTTCCTCTCTGCGCCCCGCAAGACCCTGGGCTCCCACGACCCGCCAGGACTGAACAAACCTAGCCCTACCAAAATCAAATCCTGCATCCTCCAGAGCGCCGCGCCTGGCACTCCGCGACTGGGAGGACAGAGCCGGCCTGAGGGGAGCAGACCACTGGTGGGCTGCAGGGGGGGGTGAGCAGGGGTGGCTCCCCTACTCCTCACTCGGGAAACCTCGCTGGCCCACCTAAGGCTTGGATGGGGGTGGAGGAGGTCCGCGGAGAGACCCGGCCAAAACCGCCCCCGGTGCGCTACCTCGGGCTGGCGGCGAGGAGGCTGGCGAGGCCGCTGGGTACCGCAATGTTTTGCCGCATCCCAGTTTCCGGAGCCGGCGCGCAGCCCCGCTCCGCGTCAGGGGCCCAAGCAGCAGCCTGGCGGGCCGTGCAGGGTAGGCAGGGTACCGCGCGGGATGTCGCGGGGGCCTCAGTCCCGCTGCGCACACATTTTTCCGCGCCCTCCCGTCCCAGAAGGGGCAGCTGCCAGAGTTTCGGTCGACCTCTCTGGACCCAGGCGTGCGGGAGGTGAGGAGGAAGAGATGGCCAGATCAGGCCTGGAAGACGTGGGCACTAGGGTGTCACTGACCTGTTTACCACAGGTAGACCGACCCTGTGGTTTTTTGGCTGCGAGCGGCGGCCCTGGCTCCCCCTCCCCTGTTCTCCGCCCCCATGCCTCCCGGACAGCTACATAAATCCTGCTCTCATCATGACAGAAATCAGCTCAGCATTTAGGCACCTTGCAAAGTCGCGCTGGCAGCGCTCGTCGGGCTTTCAGAGTTACCCACCGGCTGGCTCTTCCTCTGGTATTCCTAGTCTTGCCGAGCGCTAGCAATCTCCGACCAGCTCGCGGGCCACTGCCGGGAGCCTTAGATCCACGTCTGCGGAAAGTAGCTTCGAGTGGGGCGCAAAAATAAAGCCCAAACCAGCCCAGTGGCCCGACAGCGGGAGCCACCCGAGACCAGTACACTTGCTCCGCCGTCCTGGCCGCCCGGGGGATGTGGGGGCAGCGATGCCAAGGACACCCGGATCCTTTCCGGTCTTCAGTCGCGTGCGACCGCGCCGCAGGCAGGCAAGTGGGAGGTGGAGCGGAGGATTAGCCACCTCGGCCACTTTGGCCACTCAACCGGCCCCAAGCCAACAGCACCCAAACTAAAAATAATAAGCTACCTGCCCCCTGCGCGCGCGTGCGCGATCAGACACACACACACGCGCGCACACACACACACACTCACACGCACACGCGCTATTGAGCCAAGCGGGGAAAGAGACAGCGCGCCTGTCGGTGCAGCTTGTGCAGCCCCCGCTGGAAATTTACCCACCTCTAGAGCCCAGCGTCTAGTCCAGGGCCCGCGGAGCCGTGACCTGCGCTGCTATTTCCACGATGGTCTCTACGTGATTCCGGACAGAGCTTCTCCGCGTCCGCTCGCCCGTCAAACCCACCGAGCAGCCCTAGCAGGCGAGCAGGCGGGCAGGCGGGCAGCAGCGCGCGCGGGCGCGCACCCGAACAGACACCGCGCGCGCACCCAGCGCCTAGCACACGGGCTGCACCTTTACATACACGCGCTGAATCCCCGCCCCCGCCCTCCACCTCCCACACCCCCGCACACAAGCAGTCCTCCCTCCCAACACTGGACCACTTCGACTCCCTCACATTCCTGAGCTCCTACCCCCGGCCCCCACCCAGACATGCCTATTTGATTCCTCTTCTACCCCCGCATACCCAGAAAGGCAGTTCGCTTTCCTCCCGGAACCCGCCCCCTCTTTATGCCTAAAACATTCCCTAGGGAGGAGCGACCCCTTTCCTCAGGCGTGGAGACCCCAGTCCTCTAACAACGGCTCACTTGCCTCCATCCCCCCACCACATACACGCACACTCGCGTCCTTTTATTCTCTTCTAGTCCCCTAATAACGAGGGAACACACACACACACACACGCACGCACACAAACCCCGAAGGGGCATTCCTTTGGGAGAACAACCAAGAAGCCTAGAAGAGCCAAAGAAACACTGGAAAGCCTGGGAAAGGGAGGCCGAAGCAGATCTATAGGGTCGTCGAGTCTACGCGGAATTGAAAAATTACAGGACGGAGGGGAATGAGTCAACAACAATGACATTCAGATGCAACAATCATACTTGAATTTTGTGTCACGGATACAGTACCTTTGGCTAATTGTCACCCCGCAGAACAGAGGGCTCCTGGAATACTTCTCCGTACCAGGCGATCCTGGATGGAGCCTTCTTGGGAACCAATTTCCTAGGATCCAGTAGTATTCGCACTCCCCCTACCTGTCTGCGCGTTAAGGGGCCGGGGGCTTTAAGGCGAAAGTGTGAGGCTTTAGCCTAAAGTGAGACTATTTAGCGGGCTTCGGAGAAGAGGGGTTAATTATCTGCACCTTAGAACTCCGTGGGCCTTTGGCGCAGAAAGGGTTACGCTGGTTAATTTTGGAGTTGGGGGTGGGGATATGGGATAGGGGATAAGGGTTGAGGAAAGAGAGGCGTGGGACTGGGAGAGATGCCGCACTTGCGACCAAAAGAGAGAGAGAGAGAGAGAGAGAGAGAGAGAGAGAGAGAGAGAGAGAGAGAGAGAGAGAGAGAGAGAGGGAGAGAGAGAGAGAAATCTGCTTTGGCTACTGAGCATGCCCAGTTCCGAACTCAAGCCCTATAAGGGAAGCATTGTGTGCGTTCCACTTCTCCGGGCTTTGGTGGTGACCGGGAGAGGACTTTGATTGGGGAAGGGGGTGGTAGTTGGGAGACGTTAGGGAAAGGGGGTTAGAGGACCCGGTGTGATGCTTTGGGACTGCGCCGGAGGGACTGTGAAGAGGGAAAAGGAAGAGACCCAAGGAATACCTTACGGAGACGGAGAGAAAGAGAGGAAATGGACTAAGAAAAGTCACTTCAGTCGCCCCTCATTGTCTATACCAAAGACGCTTTAGCAGCTGAATCTGAAATAGCCAGTGGCTGCAAATCCAACGTGTGGATTGTCTGGGCCCCTTCTTCTACCTACTTGTTAGTGCTTCCATAAGAGAGTAGGAATATTTTGAGGAAGGGCCAGTATTCAAACCAGTTTCATGCAGATTGATAATTTCGTTAATAAGCTTGTTAGGAAAGTAAATAAACCTAAGGGAGGGGAGCAAAGGAGTTGGCTATATCAAGTATGTATTTCAAATACCTGGGATTCCTAAGCAAAACGCATAAACATTCGTTTTGCTCCCCTCCCCCAAGCTTGTTGTTTTTTTGTAGAAGCTTAGCTAAGAAAAACAACTCTCTCTCTCTCTTTGTGTCTGTGGGAATAAACTAGCTTTAGGTAAATAGAGCTAAGTTATACATGGGAAGTATTTCCCTAGAACTCTTGGTAGCCTATTCTTTGCCACATTCAGGTAATACTGCCAGACCCATTTCTTTAAGACCTGGGTTCTGCCCAATTCACTTATTCAAATTCCAGCGACTCTAGCCACAATAGAGCATAACCAGTATCCAGAAATGTTCTTGCTTAAAAATTAAAAAAAGAAAAAAAAAGAAAAAAAAAAAACTCCTTAACCTAAAACTAGCAACAGCTTTGAATCTAGAATTTGGCTGTCTGCCTGAACTCCTACAGTTAAACATTTACCATAATTGGTTGATGTTTAAAGGCCCCAACTCGAGGTAAAAACATCTGATGGGCAAAGGAGTCATTGCATTATTTGTGAATAATGACCTGCCTTCTCTATTACAGTAGTCATTCATATGTATGTTTTATGAAAATGTTTTGCATTTTATGGGACTTCCTTCAGGTTATAGTCACACAAATGTTCACTGGGTACAGCATGTATACAGAGATGCACATACAATATCTGAATGAATATGTAAGTAGATATGTGTACATGCGAATATTTCTTTATGACCTTGCTAAACATTGTGTCTTTCATGACGAACTCTTTCTCTACCTTCACTTCACATTGCCTTGAAAACGTTAATACTCTTCTCTTTTAAAAACAACGTAAAGGCGAAAATTGAGTGGGCAGCATTGATAACATTTACCATATTCAATGTGAAATCCATTATGAGATAGCATTGCTTAAGGAAACGCTAAAATACTCGACTATAACAACATATGTACTTGTGCAGCTCCTCTTAGTAAAGTGAATGGTGTTTCCTTTATAGGTAACAGCTGCAGGATGTTGAAAAATCCCTCTTCTGTTGCACATTTGGACAAAACAGATTCTGCTAATTAATAACTCTCATTTGCATTTTATTTTGTAATGCAGTTTGAAAGTAGTAATGAATATCAATACAAGTTGGCATTTATCCTAAAGTCTAAGAATTTAAGAAGCTGAATATATTTTATCTGAATAGGTGAAATGTTTGTCTTTCACTATAAATGTTAACAAGAGTCAACAGAATGAGAAAAAAAAATACCTGAAAATATAATGCACATTCTTAGTACTGTGATAACTGAAAAGGCCAGATTTGGACAGTAAATACCAGATGACTTAAATGCCTATCTTTATTCAACTTTAGAAACTGTTCAGAGACTTGGCTGTATTTAACTTCAGTAACTGTGAAATGTTATTTTTCATATGGATATGGAGACTAATCTGAAAGCAGCTGTAGCTAGATCATCAATAAATTACAATTCACAGTATTCTTAAGAACTTGTCTGTGATTAATATTCAACTTTTTTAAATGAATGCTTTAAAATAAAATGTTTTGTTACTTAAAGGGATAAAGTAGACACTCATAAAACGGAAGTAACACCTTCCATATTTTATGCTTATTTTGCTTTTAAAGTAATTAAAACCCCAATCCTTAGTCCTGCAGTCTCTTTTCTATCTCCTTAGATACCAATAGAACAGTAGAAAATGACACAGAATTGCTAGCTTAATAAAGGAAGTGAATATATACATAAATAAGAGTATTAAGAAAACTCCAGTACTATTTATGGCCATTGAAAGAAAAACAAATTTGATGTTCTTCTTAAAATGTAAGAAATCAAATATTGTGAGTTTTGCAATACGCTCACAGTCTTCCTCCAAATGTTTTACCTTATTTAATCTTGGCTTTTTAGGAGTACAATCAGAACCATAGGTCTGCACTGATATGCTGTACCTCCCTCCATCACGGAAAAAATAAACAACTGCACAAAGAATTTCAACAAGATCCTGAAAACCCTTAGTTCCAAAGGCAGTTTGGAATTAAGTCATTAAAACACTACCAACCTGAAAGTGATTATAATGCCAAGTCTTGGCCCTAGTCAGTGGTCTTTCACTTTCACTGTATTCCTCAATTATTCTGCCTTGTCTTGCTGCTGTTCAAAATCAAATCAGCCTTAATTTTCATATCCAAGTATCACAGATAATTCAGTTTAATATTGAAGATGTATTTATATTCCGGCATTTTAATAGTTGCAAACTTGCCATTTCATTTTCATTTTTATTTATTTATATTTTGTGACAAAGTCTCCCTCTGTCACCCAGGCTGGAGTGCAGTGGCGTGATCTCGGCTCGCTGCAACCTCTGCATCCTGAGTTCAAGCAATTCTTCTGCCTCAGCCACCTGAGTAGCTGGAATAACAGGCATGCACCACCATGCCTGCCTAATTTTTGTATTTTTAGTAGGAACGGAGTTTTGCCATGTTGGCCAGGCTGGTCTCAAATCTTCTGACCTCAGGTGATCCGCCCATATCAGCCTCACAAAGTTCTGGGTTTACAGGCGTGAGTCACTGAGCCCAGCCACACACTTATGACTTTTCTAAGTAGAATAGAAGAAAGTTCTTAGGATGTTAATATATCTTCTGGAAATAAATGTTTCTATGATCAAATAAGTTTAAAGGACCCTTGGTTCCATAAAGCTAAACATTTTATTTTTACTTTGGGATTTTTCAACACAGTTAATTATGTTTAAATGAACTTTTATTTACCAAGGGAAAGGGGTTATGACATGTGGCATTTCACAAACTTATTTCACAATGGAACCCTTTTTTCTATCTATATAATTTGAAAAACATACCAATAGCTCATTTTTACAAATTTTGTGAAATTTAGGACATGAATGGAAGTTTTCTTATCATAATCTAACCCATACATTAGTAGCTACTATCTGTTGAGTGCCTCTTCTTTGCTATATTGCCTATAAATACTATTTCATTTAGTTCTATGAACCAGGAAGGGATTGTTATACTTATTTTTAAAATGAGGTTAAGTGACACAAGAGCAGAAAATCAAACACCACATGTTCTCACTCATAGGCGGGTGTTGAACAATGAGAACGCATGGACACAGGGAGGGGAGCACTACACACTGGGGTCTGTTGGGGGGAAATGGGGGGGACGGTGGGGTGGGGAGGTGGGAAGAGATAGCATGGGGAGAAATGACAGATACAGGTGAGGGGACAGAAGGCAGAAAACCACACTGCCATGTGTATACCTATGCAACAATCTTGCATGTTCTTCACATGTACCCCAAAACCTAAAATGCAATTAAAAAAAAATGAGGTTAAGTGGCCAGGCATGGTGGTTCATTCCTGTAATCTCAGCACTTTGGGAAGCTGAGGTGGGGAGATCACTTGAGCCCAGGATTCCGAAACCACTCCAGGCAAAGTGGCAAAAACCTTCTCTACAATAAATACAAAAATGAATGGGATGTGATGGTACATACTTGTAGCC